GAGGGGGCGGGGGCAAAACTGTTTGAACTTGGACTGGAAAGAGAGAAGGGTTGAGAAAAGACGATTTTTTATTGAACGCCCTTTACGTATGTTTCCAGAAATCATTCGTGAGGAACATCCAAGAAATAGGCAGAAGGGGACCAATTGGAAACGAACAGATTCGAACAGAGGGGATTAGGGCTTAAACACATATATATGTACAAGTATTTATTACGATTTGTATCGTTTTTTTTACACTTTCCGCCGCATTTGAAATCAATCCAATCCTGAAAATATTTCTACACGGAAACCTTATAAAGAATCGATGCCTATCGTAGTATTTACGGATTTTCTATAAGTTTGAGTTGTCTGGATTCATTCATCTTATCAATACTCTATTCGGCATGGTCGAAAAAAATCAAATTGAACAATATTTATATTCATTATGATGATGAAATTTTATAAACTAAAACGGAATAAATAATTAAATGGAAATCATGTTTTACATGTTTATTTAAGAAAAAAAGAAAGAAAAAGGTAAGTAAAATTATAGATACATTCTTAATGAAAGATAACGAATAAAAAGTATCTGTTGATATTGAATATAGAATCTAGCATCACTTGGATGACATATGAAGAATGAACAAGATTTAAATGAAATTATTTTTTCATTCTTGGTGATTGTTTCATTCGTTTCGAAAAAGCCTGAGGTGAATTTTTATTGCTATCACAACTCGAAAATTCATTGTCATATTCTTCATCATTGTCAACATCCATCATAGGTTCTTCATCTAATCCTTCATAAGTACGACGACCTAATTAAGAAAAAAAAAACAGTATTAAAATTAATATAACATTATTTTTAATACTTACGATGATATGTAGGTTTTGTTGCAAGGTGAACTTGAAGTTGTTCTCTGTAATTGTTGTACACAAAATTGATATTGATCATTTGCATCAGTATCAATTGTAACATGACTATGTGATGAAAGTTTCATTTGAATTATTAATTTTGAAAGTTCAGTTGTTATATATTTTTCAAGATAACGTTTCAATGGACAAGCACCATAAACTATTTTAAATAAGGAAAAAAAAAAACAACAACAAATAAATATGAAAAAATTTTCTATAATTGAATTGAATAAGTAAAGAATTCTTTGTTAGAACTATTTTCCTTTTATTTTATAATTTTGAGGATTATTGTCGAATGAACACTAATATACTATTGTCAATGATAGTTCGCTGGATAAATGAATAGGTTGAGTTTCACACTACTCACTTAGGCAATGTGTACAAAAGCATCGATTTCTCTCACAATGAATTCTTCTTTCCTCTCTAATAGATATTTCCATAAATTGAAGATTATGCTAGTGACAATAAATTATCAAGTTAAAATGATTATTTCATTTTTAAAATATATTAAGATCTCATTTATTTAAGATTAAATCTTCGAATTCAAAGTAAGTTTTTGTGTTAATCTTGGTATCAATATTCGATTTGATGATGTTTAAAAGATTAGATATTTTTAAAAGTCTAAACTATTTTTTTTTAGTTTTAATTTCTCATGAAATAAATTGTAACTCTAGTTCGAAACTTTCTTTCTCATTAATTATAAAACAATGTTGAGAATAAGTAAAAATTCTTCTAATATGAATGAGAATAAAATACCTGGATTATAAGATTTCTTGAGAGTTGATTGAATAGCTTTATCTGTTAAACTAATTGTAATTTCTTGTTCTTTCAAACGTTCTTCAAGTGATTGTAATTGAAGATGAACAATAGAAGAAAGTTGATTTATAGTAAGTGGTTGAAAAAATACAATATCATCCAAACGATTTAAAAATTCTGGCCGAAAATGTAAACGAACCTTTTAAAATTAAAGAAAAAATAAATTTCATTATTTAATATAATATTAAGTAAAAAATAAAAAAATACAAACTTCTTTCATAACACGATCTTTGATTATTTGAGATAATTTTCCATCGAAATGTTTTCCAGTTGATGATGGATTTTCAACTTCTTCTAACATGTATTGTGCACCAATATTTGATGTTAATACAATTATTGTATTTGTAAAATCAACTGTTCGACCTTTTCCATCCTAAAACAAATTTTTGAATAGAAAATTTATCATTTATAATAATAGATAACTTACAGTAAGTCGACCATCATCTAAAACTTGTAATAAAGTATTCCAAATTTGTGGATGTGCTTTTTCAACTTCATCAAATAAAATAACAGCATAAGGTTGTCGTCGAATAGCTTCTGTTAATTGACCACCTTGTTCAAAACCAACATAACCTAATAAAGAAAATTATTTAAATAAATCAAAGAAAACAAAAAGAGAGAAATTTACCTGGTGGTGCACCAATTAATCGAGCTATTGAATGGGATTCAGTATATTCACTCATATCAATACGAATCATTGATTTAGTTGAATCAAATAATTCTAAAGCTAATGTTTTTGCTAATTCAGTTTTACCAACACCAGTTGGACCTATACAAATATATAAATAGATAATAATCGATATTTATTATTTAATTTAAATAAACAAACCCAAAAATAAAAATGATCCAATTGGTTGATTTTGTCTTGAAAGTCCAGCTCGACTTCGAAGAACAGCTTCAGCAACACTCTCAACAGCATCATCTTGTCCAATTACTTTTTTATGTAAATGTTCACTTAATTTTAATAAACGTTCACGTTCAGTTTGAGATAATTTTGATACTGGAATACCAGTCCATCGACTAACTAAAAGACAAAACAAAATCAAAAACGTAACACATATGTAGGAAGCCTATACATGCATAAAATCAGATTATTTCTTATAGAAAATAGTCTCATACTATTTCATTGTATGTAGTTGACTATAAGTGAATTTTTAAGAAACTTACAACAGTTGAGAATAGTGTATTTTCATGAATTAAAATCGAATGAGAACAAATTTCTAATGATTCTGTGATTTTTTTGATATGTCTGCTAGAAGGGTTCGATGTAAATAAATATTTTTTTTAAATACAAACCTATTTCAGCAATAGCATTTGGTCCAACAACTTCAGTTAATAATCTATCTTGTTGCTGTTTATTTTCTTCTGTAATTCGATATTCTGTTTCAGCTATTTTTTTTTCAAGATCTGGAATAGCTCCATATTTCATATCAGCAACTAAAGGTAAATTTTTTTCTCGTTCAGCTTGAGCCATTTTAACTTGAAGATTTTCTAATTTTTGTTTTAATTTTCTTAATTCATCAACACGTTCTTTTTCAGCTTTATGTCTTAATTTTAAAGGTTTTAATTCTTCTCGTATTTTTGCTAATTCTTCTTTAACTTGTTTTAAACGCTGTTTTGATGCATCATCTTTTTCTTGAGATAATGCAGTTGCTTCAACATCTAATTGTAATTCGCGACGTTCTAATTGATCAATTATTTCCGGTTGACTATCCAATTGTACACGTATACTTGCACATGCTTCATCGATTAAGTCTTTAAAAAGAAACAAATTATGTTTTCATTTAGAATATTTCAAAGTAAATATTTACCAATAGCTTTATCTGGTAAAAATCGATTTGTTATATAACGATTAGATAATTGTGCAGCTATAACTAAAGCTGAGTCGAGAATTCGAACTAAAGAAAAAAAAACACAAATGAAATAAATTGAAAAAAAAATGTGAAATAAATAAATCATACCACCAAAATGTGATTCATAACGATCTTTGAGACCACGTAAAATTGAAACACAATCAGCAACTGTTGGTTCTTTAACCAAAACTTGTTGAAAACGTCTTTCAAAAGCTGGATCTTTTTCAATATATTTTCTATATTCATCTAAAGTTGTTGCACCGATACAACGAAGTTCACCTCGAGCTGTAAACAAAGATTTTTTTTTTGTTAAATTATCAAATTAACAATTAAATTCATACCTAACATTGGTTTTAATAAATTTGCAGCATCCATCGCACCTGAAATATAAAAAAAATTAATTAAATCGACTTTTAAAATATGATTCATACCGTCTGCTTTTCCAGCACCAAGAACTAAATGTATTTCATCAATGAACAAGATAATACCACCATTTGAACTTTCTATTTCTTTTAAAACTGATTTAAGACGTTCTTCAAATTCACCACGATGACTTGCACCAGCTAAAATATATATTTTTATTAAATTAATTGAAATATTTTAATATCAAAAATTGTTGTTAATCAATAAAATATATATGATTACAAAGTTTTTTAAGTCGAAATAATTTGATTAGACAATAAATTACTTTCAAATGACCTCAGAAAATGATATATGATTGGATTCTATTACACAAATTCTGGAAATAATTCAATCCTGATAGAAAAATTTATGATACCGAGATTTAATTATCTATTTTTAACTTATCTATTCGATTATTCAGTCAACAGTTGAGACAATATTTTTTTCTTACATATTAAAACTTATGTGAAATAAAACTAATCTAATTAGATGAAGTGTTTCGAAAATCTTACCTACTAATGCTCCCATATCTAATGCAATTAAACGTCGTGGTAATGTATCAGGAACATCTTGATGAACAATCCGTTGTGCTAAACCTTCAACAATAGCTGTTTTTCCAACACCCTATTTAAAATAAAATAATTAATTGAAAAAATCTAAATAATTAAAAAAAATTCTTACTGGTTCACCAATAAGAACAGGATTATTTTTTGTTCGTCGTGATAGAACTTGAATACATCGACGAATCTCTTGATCACGACCAATAACTGGATCTAATTTTCCTGATTCAGCATCTGCAACTAAATCATGACCATATTTTTCTAACGCTTGATATGTCTTTAAAAAAAAAAAGAAAATTATTAATTTAGATTTTTATAACAAAAAAGAAAAATGTTTTAATGAATAAATACTTGTTCAGCTTTAGCAGAATTAACATTTTTATTTTGTCTTATTTGTTTAATAACTTCTTCCATTCGTTTTTTACTTAAACCAACTGCAACAAAAGCTGATGTTGTATCAGAATCTTCATATAAAGCAGCTAAAATATGATCAATTGCAGTATGACTATCTTTTTGTTGTTTAGACAATTTTTTTGCTTGTTTTAATACATTCATAAATGATGAATTTGGATAAATTTTTGATGGTGGTGGATCTTGTTTTGATAATTTTTTTAATTTTAATTCAACAGCTTCTAGAACTTCTTGTACATTAAATTCAGCTTTTTTTATTAATTGTCTTGCTAAACCTTGTTCATCTTCAATAAGTACATGTGCTAAATGTAATGGTACAAGTTCAATATGTTTTTGTTCTTGAGCATATTCCAATGCGTGTGCAATTGCTTTGTTACTTTGATCAGTAAATTCTTCAGGAGAATACGACATGATTTATTTCTAAAATACAATTTGTTTTTTTTTAAATTAAATTCTATAATATATTATAAAGATTTATATAATGAAAGGATCTATTGACTTTTGCTTAAGAAAGTTCATACTGATGCTGATTTATAGTAGTCGCTGAAAAAAACAATGTTATGTCCAGTGTAATAAAAAAATCGTATTGAACCTTTGCCTCCAGTTTTTTTAATCAAACAAGATGACGCTAGATGATATCCTTATTATAGATATTAGATTTTATAATCATAAATACAAAGATATACTAAACAGTGTTTTTAACAATAAGTACCCTAAGCAAAAGCAAAGTACCCGAGGTACTTACGATTTTGAAAAAGTACTTTGATTTTTGCTGGAAAAACGTTGAAAAACATGGAAAAAGCATAGGTAAACTATGGATTTGTACTTTGTTTCGAATTCCTGTTAAAAACGCTGATACTAAACATTTTTCTCTACTTTAATATTTTAATTGAAACTCTAAGAGATTTTCTTTGTTGTTCAGTTTTTATTAGCATAAGTTCTGCTTTAGTATTTTATTTCTCACTTCTTTGTTTTATCAAACTCTGTTCACTTTACTATAATAAAAACTAAGATAATATTTTTCAAAATATTCTCTCTATAAGTGTAGTTAACAAATTTTCAAAGACACAATGTAAATCAGAGTTTGTTTAGTCTACTTACTGAATGTGAATTTGAGTAGAAGAGCAGGTAACTTACAAAGTTATATTTATTTTTTCAAAGCCGCAAGTATATATATATATATATTCATATGAAAATCGAGACAATACAATAACTTTCTGGAAATGTCTAGAATCAATGAGTGCATTCTCGAACGATACAGAAAAGGATGGCAAAAAACATCGTCGGTTACCTGAATTGGCATGGAAAAAGAAAGGCAAAAAGATATTGTCGTCATGTAAGTATATCAACAGAACGAAAAGAAAAATACGAAAGAAAAGAAAAATACGAAAGAAAAAAAATAACCCAACCCAGGTCAAGACGAACGGTTAAAGAACGCGTTTTAAACGGACCAACGTATGAAAATGCATTCTGAATGCGTTTTACATAGGTCGCTCGTTTCGCACGCGTTTATAAGCGTTCTTGTCCCATTTGTAGAGGCTATAAGTAAATAAGAATGAAAAATGGCAGTCTTTCACTAAAATATAAAATAACTTTGAATTCTTATTTTTAAGTTTTAATTATTGTGAAGAAATAGAAATTATAAAATATCTTTGATCAAAAATTATTTTATAGATAATTATTCTTTTTATTTTTTTGTTTGAGTAAGCATAATGTTTATTACGTATATAGGCGCTTATAGTCATTTTTTTTTGTTTTATTTTTGTATATCAATTGGCAATTTATACAAGTTATTTTTTTAGATGATGTGATGAACTTATTTTTCAGTTTATATAATGAATAAGTCAATTGATGCACATAAACTCGGTGTTGATGATTTATGTGTTAGTCTATTCCAGACATATCGTAATTTTTTATTTCTAAATTTCGTCTTACAATATTTTTATTATAATTCGTTTCATATAAATCGTGATTTAAAAAGAAGACAGCACTTAAAATATCGACAACGCACTTAGGAAAGGAGTTTTTATTCCATTGAAAAAATGTTTTTTTTAATTCACGCAAGCTTGCTCATATACTTTTATTAAATAGTTTTTTATTTGTGAAATTTTACGTTTCGTTATCTCTTTCGATTTAGGTTCTTCCTGACGTTCAAGTAATCGCAAACGCTGGATTCGACGGTCTATATATACTGACACTCCAGCTGATCTCGCAAAGAGCACGTTTACTTTCGTATATAAAGATTTTTTACAGTTTCTGAGGTACACATCCACGCGAAAAATAAGAAGGTAGTTAAATAAAGAAGATCACTTTAACTATCTTCTTATTTTTCGCGTGAATGTGTACTTCAGAAGCTGTAAAAAATCTTTATATACGATAGTAAACGTGCTCTTTGCGAGATCAGCTGAAGTGCCAGTATATATAGACCATCAAATTCAGTGTTTGCGATTACATCGCACGTCAAGAAGAACCTAAATGGAACGGTATAAAACAATGCGTCTCGAACACATGAACGCGTTCCGAACGATACTACAAACGCGTTCGGAACACACGAACGCGTTCCGAGCTACTAGTTCCGAACGCGTTCTTTAACCGTTTGTCTTGACCTGGGTAGAAAGAACATACAAAAATTTTTGTAGAAAAAAATTTAAAAATATATTTATCTAATATGAATAAATCAAACTGACTTCTAATAATAATTAGAAGCTTTTTTAACTACGAACTATTTGAATTATTAAACAGAAAAAAAATCGATTTTATTTAATAAAAGTTTATTTTATGTTATCTCAATATTATCATAAATGCACTCGTTTACCTCTTTATCATATTTTTTTTTATAGCTAACCTTTCATAACTAATTGTATTCTTCACATTAGTTATAGATTTTTTTAACAAAAGATAATTCTTAATAGGCATCTCTTAGCATGTATGTTTATTTTTTTGATCATCTCATTCTATTATCATCAAAGTAGTATCATCTAAGTAAATTATTATTATGAACAAATAATCTGTTGTGTATCAGTTGAAGGTAGATTAGATTGGATTAATGACAGCTGATGGTCATCTCTGTACTTTTACCATCAGAATAGAAAAGAAAAAAAAAAACCTTTTATTTCGTTACAAAAAACTGTCAAAGGACAAATGAACTTAAAACCTATTCATATGAAATTGTTCATTTTCAAATAGAATCTAGTAATACCATTCAACTGAAGCCTTAAATTAATGGTGCAAAAATCTGATGACTATCTTCTATTGTTTTCATCATTGAATCACGCTACCATACACTCAAAGCTGTGAAAATTCTCACAGTTAGAGGTAATAACGCACTTTTTTTTCGGTGTCAAATAAGATGCAATGTTTACACCTTAATCAAACGAACTTGCGATGAAAGTGAGATGACATGATCCAAAATTATTATATTTATTATCAATATTTGTGTCAAAAATATTATTTGGATTTGCAGATGTATAATAATTATTTACATTAAAACCATTCAATGATGGACTACTATTATGACTAACAACAGTATTCTATATTACATAAATAGTTTCATTTGTAAATGTGAGAATAGAACTATTAAAGTAAAAAGAATAAAGATATAATCAAGCTTTAAATCTTGTATATCTAAGTTATGGATTTCAGATTTTATAAGTAAACACAGTTTCCAATTATTGTTTTTATCATGAAAAGAAAAAAGAACTCCATATGTAAATTTATTAATTCTAACGATAAGACTTGGGAGAAAGCTATGAAATACTGAAATATGTTTAGAATAATTGTTTTCTTATTATTGTTATTTCTTATATGTATAAATAAATGATTGAAACGTTATATATTAGCCGTATCGATTGAATGTATTGTATTATTCAAATAATACGAAAATTAGTTAGAAAATAATTGAAACTTAAACAATTAAATCGAATATCAATTTTTATCATAGTAAATTGTATCATTCTTTATGTAATGCATTTGAATTCACTCGATCGACTAGTAAATAAATAAATAAATGACAGCGAGAATTCGTACTTTTCTTTTTATTGATTAATAACGTAACCAAATTATATAATTTATGTAGAATAATAAAATTATATAAAAGAGCTTACTTGATTTTCTATTAAATGATGTCGACAATAAGACAATCTTGTAAAACGTATTGTAGATCATAAAGAAATTTGAAAGATCATCCCTTTTTCGAACTACAGCGAGTGATAGGAATTCAGTTGTTCTTTCAATCTTTTTTTTTGTTGCACACGAGTAAAATTATTTTCTTATAAAAACAAGTAATTGTTTCTTTGCAAAGAAAGAAGATGCCGAGGTCTTATAACAGATACTTTTAGTTGCCTTTGACATGTTTTTATTTTGCATATTATTTTTAATAGAAGATGATTACAAACAGACAAAAGCATGTTACAATTGAAGCTTTGGATATTCTGAGAAATTTTTATATAGGATATAATATAAATAACGGCTGTTTCTGATCGAAATTTTCGACTGACAATTCTGTAATAAGCATAATAATTTATTATATGAATTTTTGCCAAAAATTTCTTAGATACTATATTATCCAATAAAATGCATTCTCAGATTTCATTGGAAAGAGGTCTAATGTATCTGTGTACTATTCATCAGAGAAAAGTTTTTTTAATTGATATTTATAGCAAATATATGTCGCACTTTTACTAATTATTCATGGTGTAATATAGTTTGCTTATTTATATAAGTTAAAGGAAAAGTTACGCTCCTCTATTCTCAAGCGTTTTTCTAATAATTTTTTGAAGATGAAAATCAAACTTATAGAAAGAAAACAATTAAATGAAAATATAAATTGCAATGCCATCTAGTATAATCGATGATTCATAGTTAAAATTAAATGAAATCATTATTACATATTTCAATCATTGCTCTATAGTTTGAATTGATGATACGTATTATAGTTTGCTAATACGCCTCATTAATAAAAATTAGAATCGTTTATTTCAAACTCACACTACAGACAAATATGGTTTATTCAATGTGGAATACATTATAATCAATAAATTCAAACGTTTTGCGATCATAATTAATGGCTTTGTAACTACATATTCTGTCGAAAATTTCGAAGTGATTAAAGATGACAAACTTAAATCAACAACCATTTTCTATGTATTAAATACAACAAATATATAAATATTCAAAAAAATTGCTGTCAAATATTTTTCTAGAGTTAAACTATTAGGTTTTGTTCTGAAGAAATGAGAAGACTTCTTGATAGTATTAGAATAATATGTACTGATGTCAAGTTTTTGCATATAAGAACGTCAACAAGTACTCATTAACTTCATAAGTCAAACAATTTTTCAATGCATTTGAGTGATAATGTGTTAATAAAAAATAATCAGGCTTCAACAGAAATAAATCCGTTTCAAGCTTGAAAGATAATTTAGGAATTGCTTGTACGTTCCAGTGTTGATACCTACGAATTCTCGATTTTTTTTTTGTACCGCTCATATTATTATGATACAAAAACCATTGAGAATTACTTGAAAAATTTCAATATTTCTATTTCTTTTGAATTGTTCTATCTTATAATACTGCTTATTATCTCCGTGTTGATGAAAAGTTTTTCAAGATAAAAGGACATTTTATGAAGCAACCTTCTTGGAAAGTTTTTTTTTATCAAGAAATCTTAGTTTTAAGAAAGTTTTTACAAGAATGTTTTTTTCCAGTTTCTGGATATGATGATTCAGAAACATGATTGTCCATTATTGAAGGAATCAGCAGATCGATTTATTCAAAAAAAAGAATTAAACTTATTGAATATCAGACAAACAATTTTTTTTTAAAATTTGATTGTTTTATTTATTTTTTCAATTAATATTACAGAGTCATAATAAATTGACCTTGAACAAATCGATCAACAGACAGTAATGGTGGCCTAACAGCCAATTAGACTCGTATATCCATAAATTAATGAAACTGTATTATCGTTAGATTTTCAATATATTTTTTATTAAAACATGATACAAAATAATATTCTGTTTTTAAAAATCATATGTTATTTGATAGTTATCTATAATTTTAAGTGGGCAATACATGAATAATCATTATTCGATACCTCTTCACCTATGTGATTAGTAAAAAATTAGATCCGCTGTTTATTCGTATTTCTGTTCTCTATCATATCTATATTCATCCAACGAAAAGAGCGAATACGAGAGTATGAATCATTTTGTGGTAATAAAAAAAAAAAGCCTGCTCCTTCATCAATTAGAAAAAGAAAGGTAGTGCACATTCGAAAAATATCTTCAAGCAAGCCATTTGATTTTTCGCTTCATTGACTATACAATGCCTACCGGTACACTAGAAGTGACTATTGTCGAGGCACGTAATTTAAAGGATAAAGATTCTGTGGGCCAGAGTGATCCTTTTGTTGAAGTTTATACACAAAAACATTGTAAACAACGCACAGCAACAATTCAGAATACACATGATCCAGTATGGAATGAACGACTTATGTTCAATATACATGCAGATGACACTGCAATATATTTTGATGTTTATGATTCTGATGTTGGTGACAAAGATTTAATTGGACATGCTAAAGTAAAACTTGCCAGTGTATTTGATGATGGCAAATTCGATGATTGGATCAAGTTGCCTGCTCATTTGGGCTTGTCTATTCATGGGGAACTTCATGTAATCATGAATTTTACAGTGAGTTATTTTTGAAAAATTTAAAAAAAATCCTTAATCAATCCAATCCCTTTTATATTTTAGCCATCGTAAATTTCAATTGACAAGTTAAAATTAACAAGAACAAAAAATATCAATATTCATCTAATGTTTTCTCCATTTATGTTTTTCTTTAATCAAATATTCATTTTAGTACTAACCAAATTTCAAGCATTACTGATGAAAGTTTATATTTCTCTAATCCAGTCTAGACAAAAATATTATTTTATTTCTGAAAATAAAAAGGTTCACTAATGTAAAATAGCGCTAATAAGCATTGTTTAATATTGCAAAAAAGCAGAAATACAATACATATGAATAGTTTGTATAGATAATTCATTTTCCTACTACTTGCCAATGGTAGCAATGTCTTTGTCAGCAGAAGCATTGTCGGGAGATACTGCTTTTTTTTCAAGTTGACGAGCTGCAGAGGCTGCTTTTGATACTTCTCCGGCAGCGGTAGTAGTTGCAGATAACTTGTCAAATGTGGCAGTATCGACCAAACTTAATCGAAATTGAGTAGATGTACTCATATAAAGAAATGGAATCCACATAACAGATGTTTTAGCAAAGCAAGCACAAATAAATGTAGCCATGAGTGGTGGATTATAATTATTTCCACTGAATGCCGAAATGAAGAATGTTACTGCATATGGTGTCCAGGAGAAAACAAAGCCAAATACTGTAATTATGATACCTATGAGCATAATGTAAAGCATAACTTAATTTTTCTTGATTTACAAATCTTTTATCATTCATTTTATGAATCTTAAGAAAGCTAGTAAATATTATTAATGTTTTCGTATCTTACTTTTCAGAATACGTCGTTCCATTTCAATTCGTTTTTGACTTAATTCCGTTTTGGCACCATGTGCAAGTTTTTCACGCATACGTTTAAGTCCAACATAAATAATTGAATTTGTTGTAACAAGAATAGCCAACGGTAGACAATAAACAACCACAAAAATAAACAAATTATACGAAATATATGAAGAACGTCGATCATATAAATTCGTACAACATGATGTACGCGTTACCTGTAAATAATTAGAAAAAATAATCTAGACTCTCATTATTAGAATAAATTTCAAAGTAAATCTTAGCTTCGAATATTAAAAATACGAATTATAATATTTTAAAAAAAAGCAAGTGATTTTTACCACATGTTCTAAGGCAAATAATTCAGCAGAAAAATTAGAAGATAAAAATATACTAACTTCCAATGTATATTCATTCCATCCAACGAATGGTAATATAGTTATAACGACTGCAATCAATATAGCTGCAACTGCAATAACAACGCATTTCATAACCTAAAGTGTTTATTGTTTTCTTTTTGTTTTCAAAAAAAAAAGCTTACAGTAACATCTTTGGCATTGAATGGTCTTACAACAATGTAACATCGACTAAGGCTTACTGTGCAGAGTAGATAACAACTCGAACATCCATAAAGAAATGCAGCAAAACCTTCTATTTGACATCCTGCACGATTGTATAACCAGTAACAAAATATTGATGAAGTACCTGATAGTGGAAGATTAGCGCAACAAGCAAAAATACCAATACCCGACATAAACATAATGAAAATATTGGGTGGTGTACGTAGTGCTTTATATCGAATAAAACTTGCGAGAAGAGAGCTATTGAGAATAAAACCAGTATAAGCAGCAAGACATAAGAATATGCCAATGATTCGTATTGTTTTGCAATCACCAGGCGTTGGAAGACGCCAAAATAGAGGATCATCAGGAGATATACCAACGTCAGTAATCGATGAGTAGTTAAACGACATGTTAAATGATTCTCATTCACATATAAAGAATATGAACTGAACTAGAGTGTAATTGTTTTCTCTATTTTGCGCTATGTTTTATATGTGCATGCTAATCAAGTGTTATTTAAATCATTCATAATAGATGTATATTCTACTTGGATGATTGCTTCTTTTCAAAGATGATACTTAACATATATAATCCAGCTTGAGATTTTCCAGGCGGAGCACAAAGGCGGTTCAAAGATTTTCCGCTATTAAGCTCACGCAATTCTACACGTCAAAAAAGTAAATGCACAAATTACAGGTCAGACAAATTTAATCCGACTGGATGCTGAAAATAGATATGAAAGAATCTTTGTTACTAGATGCTTTCGATTAGATATTATAATCTTTTAAAAAAATCTTATGTGCTTTACCACTTTCTTTTTGAATAACTAAAGCACTGAAATAACCATGAATTTGTGATTTTCATCATCTAAAAAAAAACATTGGACAACATATTTTCGTATAAGATTCACCAAGAGTTAATGAGAATTTAAAAAGTAAATTATAAAGATCTTCCAAAAAGTAGCATAAAAAAGTATGACATACAGTATTCGATTGATTTTTTTGTATATTCATGCGATTAATCAAAATTAGATTTATAGTTTCATATAAATCTAGAATTTTTGTCTACTTTTATTCATAAAACAAATGAATAGTATCAATCCATATTCAATTCATTTAAATGGTTGTTTGTTTAATCCTTTATCCCTTGTTGGGCCGTCTGTGACCAATTCATAGAAACTATTCATTTAGAGTATTTAAAGCAACGGATCGAGACAATTTCCAAACATGGTGTAGAAACTTCAAGCAGGTAGAAATTCGAAAAAAAATTAAACTTATTTTCATCACTCCTTGACTAAGATCTATAAGCTGGATAACAGTGTGTTTTCAAACAGTAAAAAAAATCCATTTGTTTTTTCTTTTATGTCCCCACATACGCTGATAATTCTGGTGTTGTTAAGGTTGATATATACTGTCACCGTATAATCTATTTGTAGAGTTGTTTTTTTTTCAAAATTTGTTGATTAAAGATGTGAAAGCAGCATTTTTTATAACAAACTGCGTCATTTTTTATTCATTCATAGTGATTAACATGAAATATAGTTTTTCTACAGTTATTTTGTTTTCGATATACATTCATAAATAACACGATCTTCATGCTAAATATTTTAATAGAACTAATAGCCAATCAAAAAGCATTTCATGACCGTCTTAAAATAACTTCTTATCAATAAAAATAGAAACTTGCAGCTTCTTTTAAGATCTGTCTTCTGAGCAAGACTTTAACAATGAGAATGGATGATTACGTATCGCAATTCTGAACTAGGGATTCTACTGTATAAAAATGAAATGAAGATTAACAATTCTGACAAGATTCTGAATATGAAAGATTTGGTTGTCACTCGAAAAGAGCAGTCTTTGCAAGTATCTAACCATATATCATACCCCAAAAATGACTTAATTTTCAAAAACTAGTTCTACTGATATCATAATTTGTTGTTGCATATATTATTCCAATGGTTTCCTCAATACAGTAACTTTACTGGATTAGTATTAGGAAATAAGGAGTTCACATGAAAAAAACTTTAATTCTGAGCAAATTTTGCATATTTATACGCTCAAAACTACATCGATGATTCATAACGAACTATTCGTGATAGATGAACCTAGACTTGATACAATTTATGTATTTTTTGAACAGAAACAGATATAAACTTGGGATTCATATAGAACAACAAATCTGAATCACATGGATCGAATGAACATACTGGCAAAAATTTAAAAAAAGGCTGTTCGCCAAATCTTTTAAACTACTTTTTAAATTCTCATTAAGTATCAATGAATCTGATACGAATATTATCCATTGGACTGCTCTTTTAAATGATAAAAATCATAAATTGATGACTATTTTAATTCTACAGTTATTCAAAAAGAAAGTGATGAAGTACATTATATTGTTCAACAGATGATAATAATGAATGTTCAATAACACTCGCAAACAAAAAAAGACAGATATTTCATTTGAACATATATGATTGTAAGATACTTTGAAAAAAAATCTGGTCTTATTTAAATCTAAGCTTAATAATAATATGTCTTTTTCTCTATAACTATGGTTTGTTAATTTTATTTGAATTAATTCCTCGTCGTGTTATCAAATACACAGCAAAAGTGCCAAGCCAATGCCCTCCTTCATAATGACTTTCATCGATAGCAGTTAAACCAGCTTGAGCATTTCTTTGGCTTAATTGATACAATTGATTTCGTTGTTCAGTATTTTCTGGCAATGCTTCAGCTATTCCTTCTAACATCCATGCTCGACTAAGACATAATCCAGCTAAATGAATTAATTTTGGATCAGTTGGATCAGTAATTGATGGTGGTTCGAGACTTGATGGTAAATTTGTAAGAGGTAAATAATCATTAAACCATTGTAAAAATTCATGATTATTCTTGCACATAACACGTCGCATTAAATCAGCTTCAGCAAGACCAGCCGATAGGAAATCTTCACCTGATGGTTCATAAGTAAATGGATAGAGTTTGTCAGAAGAGAAGAATCTCAATGAATGTTGTTCAATAAGTTTTGCAAATATTGAATTGTTTACATGACGAGCATAATCAAGAGATAGACCAAGAGCAAAAGCTGTTTGACTATGTTCACCACTACGAACAGGATATGATAATTTTGGAAGCCACGAAGATAAACGATTGACGACAATTAATTCAAGTGAACGCATATTTTCACGCCATTCAACTATTTCTTCAGAACTCTATAAAAACAAAAAAAATATTCTTTTTATTTTTATTTAAACAACAGCAAACTTCTTTTTCTTCTTGTGCCCATTCATCTAGTTCCATAACCAATTGTAATAACCATGCTAAACCATAAGGTCGTTCGAATGATTGACGTTGCTCACTACTTAAATATGTTACTTCACCTTGAAGTTTTTCTTTTGTTAAACTTTGTCTAAGTGCTTGACGACATTCACAAGTAAGATTTTTATCAATACGACCAAGACGAGTTAAAAGCCAATGTCCATGAACAGCTGAATGCCAATCAAAACAACCAAAAAATACAGGTGTTAAATGACGTGGAGCTTGAACATCTGCATCGGATGTAAGAACATGAGCAATTTTGTTTGGATATTCACGATGAATACATGAAAGAGCAAGAGAAGCAAAACGGCGACGTAATGATGATAAATCTACATAATAATAAGACTTTTATTAAAAAATCCTTTTTTTACGTTTAATTAAAACTCATTATAAGTGATGTTGAAATATCATACAAGATTATAATACATTTTGGTTTCAAAAACCACAGATCAATGAAAACGAAATGCTTCTACTCGAACAACAAAGAAAATTAACATTCATTTTCATAATTATTTTTATTTTTACTCGGATCTTATTTTGAATCTATTTTTGACTAACTTATTGTATAATATTAAAGAAACATAAAATATATTTTACTTGTTGTCATACTTATATTGTTATCATTTTCGTCAGTAGTTGTCATTATAGTCGTTGATGGTGAACTGATTACGTTGACTACCATGCAAATAAGAAAGAGAAAAAAAGAAACGTGTTTGGTGTTTGATGTCATCGTATCAAAATAGAATGGTATGTGTGAAGAATAAGAACAAAGAATAAAGGCGCTGATAGTCAGGCAATCTTACATATATATATATATTTTATTCGGTTGTTGATATTAATCTTTTAATCATAAGAAAAGTTTATCAAATACATACATAAAATCAAGAAGTGATCTTGATGTTTCTAATTAGATCGATTCAATTCATTTCATATTGTTGTTTTCTGGTAGTTGAGCACTGTCACGACCACAGAATAAGACTATAAATAAAACCTCTAACATATGTTCCTGTTAAAGTTTTCTTCCTACAACACTGTGCTTTGTTAAACGATAAGATCCATATAAGAGTTATATCAGCAGTGACCTGCATAGAATGTTAGACTGTGCAAGAATAGCTAAATTTCTATCATTGTCTGCTATTTTGATAATTATATAAAAAATATCTATTTTTTTATGCCAGTTGATCAACATACGAGTTCTTAGTAAAAACAATATATGTAATGTAACTTTTGATGGTAGAAACGATCTCTATTCTGTAAGACTGTTAATGAAGCTGTGATGAATCTTGTCAATTTAAAGAAAACAGAATTCAATTTTTGTAATATCATTGTTTTGAACTAGATTAACGAAAAAGAAAAAAAGAAAGAATGCTAGTTTTTAACTAACGATGTTATTTTGTATTGATTGGCCACATGTTTTTTTTTTTTGGTCAATCACAAGATAGAATTCTTTTCAAAGATGGTTATTTTTCATTTCTTCTCTTATTTACATCAACCATAATTCATTTATGTTTACAAACATATCATCGAATCCATTACATACTAAATAATTAATTTTTGAAATCGTTAAGTTTGATAGATGAGCGTTACAATCACTATTGTTCAGTAGTAGAACATAGTTATTACTCAAACATTCTACATGAAAGATGAATTGTAGATAGACATCTACTGATAATGGAAACCTGTCAAATGATCGATTACTTTCAAGATAAATCTTACCCTATTGGGTACACTTCAATGAAGCTAAAGAAAACTTCTAAGAATCCGTATCTACAGATCCTTCCTCTTGAGTGATGGTGACTTCAGTGAGTTTTTTCAACAAAATGTAATTGTCCACTAAAGATCACCTTGAAAATCGACTTTTGAGTTTCACCTTTCCACAATTCAAGTTCTCCACGGGACTAGTTCATTGTGAAAATGTTATACTTTAATAATATCTTCCATTCTCAGACAAAAATATAGAAAATTCTCTTATAGGAAAAAAATCACCTTTGTTTTTATATTGGAATTTCAGGAGAGCAGTTATTGCAAAATTTGATATTTTTACAATGAATTGGAACTGTTGAAGATTCTATCCATAAAAACTTAAAATTTGAAAATGGACAGTCTACTTTAAGGCTGCTGAGACGGAGCACAGTAATTTATTGAAAAACTCATTACAGATTGTTATTGTTGAAGAAGAAATATCCATAAACACGAATATGTTTAGGGTTTTTTAAGTCTCAATAGGTTCTACGTAATAAAGTAAGTCTCATCTCCAAAATAACTTATCATTCAATGAAGTTTCTTCGTGTGTAAAATCTGTAGGCTCCTTGAAAATACCGAATAACATCACGAAAGATCAGAAAAGAACAAGAAAAAAAAAGATGCCTAAAGGGAGAAAGAAAATGTTTCCCTACTGACTATAAATAAAAGTTCGTACGTTTTTCTTCAAAAGAAGAAAAAGAAAAGGGGACTTTGTTTCGATATGATATTGAACTGATTACGCAGGTCAAATTTTTTTGTATACAATTCGATCAAAGAAAATCGNAATTCGGTCGGTTACTTTCGGTTCGGTTGAAAGCTTTTTAAAATTCGGTCGGTTACGTTCGGTTCGGTTAGAGATTTTTCCGGTTACGGTCGGTTCGGTTGGAAACTTTTTAAAATTCGGTCGGTTACGTTCGGTTCGGTTAGAGATTTTTTCGGTTACGGTCGGTTCGGTTAGGAAAAAAGGCAACCGAATCCCATCTCTGATGAGTAGCAGACTGTGTGAAGCAGAAAAAACAAATATTTTTCAAGCATTTTCATCTTATAACAAATTAGATTAATGCTTTCTCTCGTTTGAAACGTTTCTTCCTTCTTACTGCTTCTAATATAATGCTAATAACCGAAATCAATAGTTTCAAATGATAATATATGTTATGTGAAGTCATAGATTGATTTATAAAATCATGACTGGTTTCTTGATTCAACAAGTCAAAAATTTCTTTGATTTTTTTTCATAAAAAAGTGAGCAAAACTAAATACTACATACTATATAGTAAGATTAATTACTGCTCTTCATATTCTTGATCTATGACTAAAAATAAATAGCAATGCTAAAAATCCTAAAATATTAACTTAATCTAATATTCTCTATAAAATGCTGATTGTTCATGATGAATTTCTTTTCAACGTAACATCTTTTTTAAAACGTTATCATTCTGTTTTCTTACGTATTTTTTCATATAATTCCAGAATATGATAAAATTGTTTAAAAAATGAGATTATGTAGAAGGGGAAATAAAGTTTGATATCTTGTTAAAAATTTTTTGGTGTACAAAGCAATCGAATGAGTAAATTTTCTAAATTATATTTTAGTTTATATAGGTAAATAGAAAATTGAGTCGAATTCAATATAATAAATATAATAAATTAATCAACATCTAAATACATTAATGAGTGAAACAACAAATAAAATATGTAGAACCAATTATATTATGATTCACATTGATTCAGATGCTATTGAAAACAATTGTACAACTACTCTAATTCTAATGCATCAAGAGCAGAATCCATTTATATGTTATTTAAATTTCGAAATATGATGATATAAATATGAACATTGTTACATGAATTAACAAATAAATGAACATCAACAAAAAGCAATGTAAATTATTTTTCAAAAACGAAAAATTGAATCTATTCGGTCTTTCATGGACATGACAATAAAAAAAGTCATCGTCTATCAATGCTATAGTGTACAAAAACAATGTTAGTAATGAATCGTTGTATTAGTTTTCTTTTACATACTCTATAGGATACAATTAAGTGTCAAAATATTTTAATTTGGCTGTCTTGACATTGTTATTACTAAATCTAGGTTACAAGCTAAAGTGCAAGCAAGACCAAGACCATAAACCAAACTTCGCCATGGTTGCAATGCCATAATATATGCTACAGCATAACAGATACGAGCAACTAGATAAATCAAACCATACACAATTGTTCTTATACTATCATTAGACATTCTGTCAGAGAAGACAGCGGTTGCTAATAGAAGAATTAAAAAATACGTGTCATTTTCTGTATCATTGCCGATGGTTTTATTGACACGTACGTCTTTAGTAAATTCGATATGGGTAGTTTCTGTCATCGAAGTATCCACCTGACCTCTCTTCAAAATTCTGTCTTCGGGAACTCGAGAATCTGGTGGAAATGGTCTATCACGTCCTGCTATGCCAGCGACAACCAACATTGCAATGCGCCGAATAACCATCATCAGCATAAACCATGCAAACACAGTGCCTGATTGAATAGTGTTGACATTAACCATAGTAAATGATGATTGTGATATAACTAATGGCAATTCACGCAGTACAAAAGACCAAGTTGTGTGTGTATGTTATTGGAGATATGTACTATAAAATATAAATTTCTATTCTATTTATCCTTGTTTGTTATCTTATCGATTGCAAATATTGTATAATAATCTGAGTTGAAGTACCAATTGACGTGCCCGTTTTTTTTTCTTTTAAAAGAAATGTTACGATAACTCATGACAACGATTTTCATAGAAGAAAAAGCAGCGTACACATCGAACATTTAGTTCTGCACATGAAAGAAATAATTTGAGACAATGCAAATTTAATACATAATTACAAATAAAAAACGACGTCTGTCAAAAGAAACCTTGATATCATTTTGTTCGTACTCATTTATGTGCTCAAAAAAAACTTATTCGTGACCTTTACTTTGAAACTAGGAGCTTTTCATTTCTAAATCTTCTCATTTTCCAAATTATATTTCTTGTTCTATTTTCTAAGGATAGTATTATTATTTTAAAATTCAATTGCATAATTTCAAATGACCAGAAGGAAGTATTTTATTTACAATTCATAATGCTATTTAAGTATGATCCAGTGCCTACTGAACACCTCGATGTCGAAGATGAAATAACCAATTTGATATAGCCAGATGGTTAAGTACTAAATTTGATTGCAGTTAGTACTAATCTCTTTTCAGCAATTCTCAAAACTCTCACACGATATTCAATAGCTATTCTAAAATATTTTATGCGTTCCAACTTATTGCCGATAATATGGTAACACATTACAATTTGTAGATGATTTTCTCCACAGGCTGCCTGAAAGATCGCCAAAACTCTCCTGTATGATTGAATAACTCACCTTCGTCTATTTTCCAATCCTACACAGATTTTCTCGAACCAAATTAAGATTACAAAGCATAGGATGATCTATTGGTTCGTTAATTTCATATAATTTTAGTGCCTGATCATATCGTCAAGTACATTCTTCATGTTGGCCAACATGTAACGTTGTATGACTAATATTTTGACAGTAGGGAGCACAATTGGTATCATTTGTGAAAGCTTGATAATGCTGGGTTCTAACATTAGTTCTGAGAATTATTTTTATTTAGGTATTTTGAGGCTTAATATCCAGTCAGAAGATGGGTGTAAGCGTGAGTATGTGAATCTGAGGCTACATGGCTATCCTCATTATGCCTATACCCATCTCATCTATATCTGAAAATATATGTGAATTCCACAAAAGAATTTAGAATTGGAACAGAGCAAAGAATGAGAAAATGAACAGTACCTCTACACAAAGTTTGAAGTTAAACGAGGCTCACTTGCAACAAGTCTTTTTTCAAAACCGTTCTTATATAATATCATAATTAATTCATGAAATTATTTGAGTGTTATAAATAGAAAACAACTCACTTTTTCCTAAGTTGAATGATTCAACGAAAAGTAGATCTGTTAATCATAAACTTCCTATAAATATAATTGGCGACACAGATTTCTAATCAACGATAGGGGACAAAAACTCATTTCTTCTATTGGTGGTGTCGAGTACATACAAAAAAAATGTAAAATGCACACTTGTTACAACGTAGAACAATATTAACATATATTATATTCGACAATAATGTGTTTATTTCGTGTTTATTTAATAAAAAGGAAAAAAGTAAAAGAGATATACTTTAAAATGAGTACTGTTAATACTGCGCCATTTCAATCATTTCTGCTGGCTGCTCTGAACTTTTATGTACTTGAGAAGTTTCCGATACAAATAAATTGATTTTCGCCGGTTCCATACTTGAACATGCGACGACTTGACTGTATTCGGGAGCTTGTTGAAGTTGAGAGTCAGCTTTATTTCGATCACAAATCATTATATGTACCTTAGATAGATTATGTTTATTTCTTGCAATATCAGGATGATTAGCAGGTAAAATTTTTTCATTGATGTCAAAAGCTTGTTGATAAGCGTTCAAAGCTAAATTCAACTGACGTTGATGCAAATAAAAATTACCAAGATTATTAAGTAGGATTGCTTTGTTTGGATGATTAGGTGGTAAACTACATTCATAGATATATTCTGCACGTTTAAAACAAGAAAGAGCTTTTTCATATTGTTCTCGTTCACAATAAATATTAGCAAGATTAATGAGTGTTCCACCAACATCTGGATGATGTTCTTGAATAGTTTTTGCATATAATTTCAGAGCACATTCAAAAGAATCAATAGCTTGTTGAACATTATTCTGTTCCATATGAACAATACCAATAGCATTCATTGCTTTAGCTGCACTTGTCAAACGAGATGGTCGAGCTTCTGAATGTGTTTCATAAGCTTGTTTAAGAAACTCGAGTGCACGTTCGTAGTCACCTTTTAATCGATAAATTCGACCCATATGATAATAGATACACGAAATTTCTTCATCATTTGGAATCGATGAATGTAGAATTGTATTAAAATATTTTTCTGCTCTATCATAATCACCCATTTCAATAAGTAAATGACCAAGCACTAATATAATATTAGATTCAGCCATTTTGGATGTCTGATATTTAATATATTCGGAAGTAACTTCAAAACCTTCATCTGTCGCATTAACTTTTACTAACCATAAGTTTTCTTTAGCATTATATACACACGAGTTTATTTTAAAGACAGCTCCTAGAACAAAACACAATTGATTGTATCATAAAAAATTACTTTCGTTGAAAAATATTTTAATAAATTGAAAAGAAAAACGAAATTTAGATTTACCTAAATCAAAAAGTATTTCATTTTGGTCTGAAAATTTATTATATTCAGAAATATCGGCAAGAGTTATTGATGTAACATGATTTAAGTCTACAGTATATTCAAATAAAACTTTTTCTTCATCAGATTGCATTGATTGCTTCATAACAAAATCATAGGCTAAACGACGTTGACGTGTCGTTGACAAATATCCATGAGTAAAAATTAAATTACCAATATTACGTTCGAAATTTTTTATTCCTTCTCGTGTTGTTTTAAAACCACTATATAATTGAATAGGAGATGAAGAATTTTGTTTTTTAAATTTAGTAAATTCTTTTTCTAATTGTTTTGATAAATCCTTGATATAAAAATGAAAACAGCATAAAGAACTTATATTTTTCGTACAAAGAGCTTTATTAATTAATCGATAAATAAATGAATTATTTATATACCATTGAAGTGCTTCATGTGGCTTATAATCATGTTCAAAATGAACTATTTCTTCTAATACTTTTGGATTGTCTGCGTAATAATTACGATATTTTGAAGCCATTAGTTTTTTAGCTTCGGATTTCTTCGGTAATTTCCTAAAAGCAACTTTAAAAAGTTCAAAGAAGAGAAAAGTGCCAACTTCTTGAGTTAGATCAATTTTTTCCGTTTTTATTTGATTATAAATAGAAAAGGTTGTCATTTGATTATTGATTTGTCGACGAATATGTTTTATTTCATCAATAAGTTGTTGTTCAGTAGGACAAAGAGCTGTAACACGTGGCGAAAGTTCTTTAGATGTTTCAGATGTATAAAGAAAAAGACTATCGACTTGTTTTAATGCTTCCAGAATATTAAGAAGATGATCAGAAAGATAATCAACAATCAACCAGACTTTTTCTTCAAAGATTGATTCGATATATGCCAGAGCCTCATCTTGATCGTTAAAGACCTTCAAAGAAAATAGATTAAAATTCGTCCTTTGCTTTCATAATAAATACTGTTTAAAAATTATTGAAAAAAAGAATGATACAGAAACTGAAATAGTATAATCAATCAGGACATTTAAGATAATTATATTTCTAAATTTTATCTTCGAATCTATTGAAAAAAAATCAAGTGAAAAAATTCATTGAAAATCAATAATATCTGACATGTAAAAAGTTTTATACAGCTATTGTGATCATACCTGAATATAATCATTAATAGATCGAATAGCCGCAATAAGTGATTGCGTTTTCGTATTGTTTGTATCCTTACTTAACCAAACAATTGTAACATCCTCTTCATTCTTGTCTGTTCGTTTCTGATAATTAGTAACTATTTCATTGTTTTGTACAGTTGATTGTGTAATCTGTCTTTCATATGGAGATCCATTCCGGAATGAATGTATAGCAGTCTTTACCTTTGTAAACATATTTTTATATTTAATGAAAAATGAAAAATACGTATAGTTAATATCGATGACATACACGCATAAGACATGCTCCACTGCATAAATATTATACGCCTGTATAAATCATCATTTCTATCAAACAGAACTAAAAATAGTGCTCTCTTTTTTTCTTTTTTTTCTAATTAACAAAAAAGAAAAACAATAACATAAAGATGTAAAGACACTTAACATATCCATTGACTCGATTATATGACTTATCACACGTTTCATAAGGGTCAGCTAATATTTTGTTAGTTTATTGGTTACTTTTAAACCATATTGTTAGTTGACATAAATTATTATTTTATTTTTCACATTAGAATTAATAAGCTTATGCATATTCGTAAGTATTCAATATAATAAATATATATATATATATATGTATTTATATTTATGTCAGTTTTTTGTATAATAAAAGCGACAATGTCACGCTTTTTAGACTAATAAAATCTGATAGTTTGATAATCTTATGTAAAAGTTGCAACTTTCTTCAAATATTTTAACAAGAGAAAATCTCATATATAATACTAGGAAAGATTTTTTGTTTGTTCAATATATTTCATTATGATCGAAAAAGTGTTCGAGATATCAAAGTTTGTAATATTTTTTACAAGATATTGAATAAATTAACTGTCAATATAATTCAATTTGGTCAACGTGACATTGTAATAACGAAATATAAATTACAAACTAAAAGTACAAGCCAGATCAAGATAAAATGCTAAGGTTGTCCACAATTGTAATACTATCATATATGCCACAGTATAAAATATACGACAAAATAAATAAATAACATCAGAAACAATTATTCTTGTACAGTTGACATTTATACTGTCTCAGAAAAACTGCAGTTGCCAATAGAAGAATGAAAAAATGTGCATAATTTTCTGAATCATTACCAATTGTTTTGTCAACACGTATGTCTTTAGTAAAGTTAGTATGGATAGTTGTTGTCATCGATGGTTCTACACGAATCGTTCTCAGTATTTTGTTTTCAGGAACTCAAGAATATCTCGTGGGAAAGATATGTTATATCCTGAAATGCTGACAATAATCGCCATTACAATACGTCGAATGATCATCACTAATATCAACTATGCAAACACAGTATCTGATTGAATAGTATTAACATTGACCATAATAATAAAAGAAAATACAGAATAAAAGTTAATTTGATTATTAACGAATTTTATTAGAGAGCAATATGATAATATGAATTGTAGTGGTAGCCGTAGACAATAGTGATATGCAATTTTATTAGTTTTTTTTTTTTCTACCCGAAAAAATCTTCTTTTTCTGTTTTTTTCCTTCAATATTCCTTTGACAATGGCTTTTATCAAACGAAAATAAACTGACACACATAAAGTTTGTTTCCAATCATACAGAAAACTAGTTCTAAATTTCATTAAGCTGACATACATGTCGTGTAGTAAATAATAATCACCGGATATTTCACATAAAAACAAAAGCGATTATTATTGTTTTCACAACTATTACTGTCCCAAAAGTTAAATATTGTTTGTCTATGTCTTAAAAGCATATTTCTATACCAAATAAAATATTCATTGTGAGAATCTGTATATAGACTCTCGAAAGAAGACGACTTCATGGAAACAAAAATGTATTAGCTCAATATTTGTTTTATTTTGCATTAGAATGAATGATAAAAAAATTCATTTTTACAAACGTCTTATTCTTTTCCTATGAATTTTTATGGTGAAGAAAAGTTGAAGAAATATTTTATGTTAAAAATCTCTTCATCAGAATTAAAAGAATAATCAAAGTTAGATGTGAAATAGTCGATCAGCAAATATTTTGCATCAAAGAATACATGAAAAATGATATAACACTTTAACTAACGAATTCCTTTGTACGTCTAGAATTGATCATTGATTTTTGCTAATGAAATTTTTAAACAATAAACATTAAAAATATAATAATAGAAACGTTTTTTTATTTTAATGAAATTAAAGAAATTCTTTGACCAACATCCATATCAGTTTCTCTTTTTTTTTAAAACCTACCATGACAATTGTTATATTTAACATTTTTCAATGGTACTTCAATCAGAAGTTGCTAAAATGCATCCTTTACAAGTCTCCTTCAAATACTAAAAGATAAAACTTTATAATTAATTTCATTTACAAACATGTTCATGTGAAATAGAGAGACGATCAGTGTTCCGAATGACAAATATAGACTATCAATTATATTAAATCCTAATCACGTTATACAGACTCGAGAAAAAAAATCGAAGAATATATTTTCTCAAGAACTATTTTTATAACGTGTTTATTTTTCTTTTGTGTCTAAAAAACATAGTATGCGTCTATTAAGCGATCAGTGAGCAATGATATGTCAATAAAATAACAAAACAAGGAAAAGAAGACAGAATCATTTACTTCTGATTTAAATGCGTCATATATAGACAAATGAATCAGAATAAAACATGTAAATTTCAATAGTACTCATTAAGAAGGAACACAATTATCTGAATACCGGATGTCAAAAAGTATATACATTTTTTTTACCCTGTCTGCATCTCGAGACAAAAAAATGATAAAAGCTTGATCTTCTGCTCCAAAGCTGCACTATGGAGTTTTCTACAAACTTTTAATAATCTTATGTTGAAACAATATGACTGAACATTTTTATTGGCTAGTTAATATAATTCTATCAACTACATTTACTTCTCACAGTTACTCTTTACTATGAATTTTTTATAGTAAAAAAACAAAGAGCACTTGAAAAACTAAGTTTCAAATATAAAGTACTCCGGTAGAATTTGTCAAAAGCATTTGATTGTAATCTATTTTTGTTAAATAGGACTGGCTTCTCTGAACTGCTTTCACGATAATAAAAGAAAGAAAATATCATTATTTTTAATAAATAGCTCTGTGGAAAACTTTGTCTAATACGAAGAATAAATATTCGAAAATTTTCTGCCTATATGTACAATTAGCAGCGGTTTTCAAGACCTATTTAGCAGTCAATTTCAGTTTCAAAATTCAATATTTGTTCATATGAAATAAATACATGAGTAGAAACGGTGTGTCAGACGTAGACACAGTTCATACAATCACATGATTTTATCTATCAAAACGTTCATTCGTATTGTTTTAAATTATAGTTGATTGACATTTGAAGAGTATTTGACAACATATATTTTGATAAAACATCAAGACTTGGAAGAATATCCCTGTCTTTCGACTTCCTTGCAATATGGATTACTGTATAACGGCACATTAATTGGCTAAATATCTCCTCTACAGTTAATACGAGCTGTAGTTCTGAATAGAAGTTCTGATCTGATGTAGGGTTCTTGTGTTCAGTTACTTCAGTGCCACATACACACTTACGAATCATATACTAACCACAAGAGCCAGTGTACGTGACAGTGTAATCAGAATGCCGCCGAACGGCTGACTCGGGAAAAATAACCAATATTGGTTTGTCTAGGGTCATTTCATAACTGGTGGTATTTACTGAGGATTGAATATACGACCTCATAGACAAAATCAAAAGCACACAAGCATTGTGAAACATTTAGGATTTACAAATGGGTGACTATTGTTAATTATAGTTGACAAAAGATAGCAACATGTAGATAATCACCAGACTATCTATTCAAGATTGTGTTGTGTAGAAGTTGATTACGATTTCATGGTAGAATAAAAATATCAAATATTTATAAAATAACAGCGAACATTATGATGAATTTCGGAAAAATAATGAATTAAAACTTCCCTTCAATATATTTTAATAAACCATAGATTTAAACATTTCGATTAACTGAATCAAGTTATGATAATGTCAAAAAACAAGTTCAATTGTCAACTAATAAGCAATGCACAAGTCTCTGGAAAAATATCAAACCCTATTACATCATATTCCAAATTCTAATAAAAAATTCACCTAAATGTAGCGAATCAAAAGTTCAACAGATTTCAGCTTTGGTAAAATTGTTTAGATCTGTTCTTGACTCTTTAATAATAAAGAAATTGGATATTGAAATTTTTTGTAAAATAGACTTTTGCAAGAACGATAATCAGTTTGTAATGACATCAGCTATAATCTTCAAAAATCATACATGAATTAAAATTTTTGTGGGTTATTTATTTGAAATATGCTAGATCATAGATACTTAATAGAATAAAATACTTCAAAAACTATTTTGTTATTGTTATAAAAACGATCAGGTAGTAAGAACGACTAAATTAGAGTTTATTTAAGAAATAGCTATATTGCGTTAGAAAAACCAAGAGTAAATTAAACTATCAATAGACGGTTAAAAAGAGCATTCTTGACGCCACAAAAATCATCATTAAACGTTTTTTTTTTTCATTTTCACTTCTAAAATTAAAAAGAGTTTAACCGAAAATACAAAAATGATGTTGTTCGATGGTGAAGTTGCAAGACATTTTTTTCAGATGTTTGCTTCTTTAGCGCTTCCTCCTTCTTAGATTCATTCTAGAAAAATGTCTATTAAAAAATTTCTAGGTCAGACGCTACTCTTTCTACTAAAAAGAATTCATTAGTTTAAAAGTCGACAGCACAGTCTAACAGAGTTTGACATTTTTTCCAAGATTTTTGTACCGCTTATTACTTGTAAAATAGATAGCTTTCTAAAAATTTGTTTTTTTTTTTACTAAGTCATACTAAATAAAATATGCTTGGATTCATTGAGGAAACTTTATATAATCTAAACATGACTAATCTACATTGTACTTTTAGAGCGGAAAATTTATCCTTATACGGAATATCATATTGAATATTATTTTCTCAATAAAAGATGCTTGTTTTCTTCAGTAAAGATAACTGGATTTAATTGAAAAACGGTACTGATCTAAATCTGTTTCTCGTTCTATAACTGATATTCAAGTAAATAATTTATTATTAGACATGTGTATTCAAATGGATTCAATTAAGGAACCTATTTACGCATCTTTTATCCTTTAGAGAATTTATTTTTCGTAATTTGAAAGCGACATAAATCTGATTATGCATTAAAAAAAATGATTTTTTCCTTCTCAATAAAAGTACTAGAATTTACTAGCTGTTTCCATTTTTATGGAAAACAACATAAAAATATGTCATGACAGATAGACGTCACGCAGCTCTAATGCTTAATTCAACTATAAAAAAGGAAATAAATTAAAGGGATGTGTAATGATGTTGATGAATAAGACAGTGTTAGACAAACTCATCTGAATAGGTATCATTATAATAATTTTCCATACAATATTCATTTGAAATTCTTCCGCTTAGATAACTTTTTCTGGTAAAACAATATATATATATATATAAACGAATATATGTGCCTTGACTATTATCAATATAGTCATGAAAATAGATAATTTGCAAAGCATAAACTAGAAAAAAAACAAGAAAATAATGATGAAGGATCACATTTAATTCATTACGATTGTAGATACAGTTTCATTTGTTTTGTATTTAACTATTACAACGATGAACACATCTGACATCGAAACATCTGATTACAAAACATTTTTACTTAATCGAATCAAATTTTCGCTAATACTCTTTCTACAAATTCCAGCGTTGGTTCTCTCTTTTGTCTTATTTACCTTTCTTAAGAAGAATCATCAAGCTAAAAAGGCTCCACAAAATTATGCATTACTAATTCTACTCTCGGTAAATTTTATTCAACTATCATTCACTTTACCACTCAATCTTAATTTCTATTATCATGACAATGTTACTCCAGCTACACCAGCCTATTGTACGGGATGGGTTTATCTTGAATTCACATTATGTTCAATAAGTGAATACCTTATGGCCACTATATCTGTTCAACGTCACATGCTTGTTTTTAATAGATATGTTCTACAAATTCGTCGGATGCGTATTCTGCTTCATCATTTGCCACTTTATTTGTCTATTATCTATCCTATGACATTCTATTTTTTCGCAGTAATTATGTATCCATGTGACGGTACTCAATGGGATTACACTAGCAATATCTGTGGTCCAGCTGTTTGTTATCTTGTGTATGATAAAGTTTTAGGCACACTTGATTGGTCAATCAATAATGGTTTGCCTATGGTGATCATTGGATTAGCTAATATTGTGCTAATTGTGAGAGTAGTTAAACAAAAACGTGAACAACAACGACGATTGTCATGGAAAAAACAGCGACGTTTGACATTACAATTATTCTGTATTTCAAGTCTTTATTTAGTCGCCTGGGCACCATGTCTTATTGTAGCACTTGTACAAATACTTGGCTATCCAACCTTTCTTGCACAAATTCAAATCGACTATTTACTCTTTCTTATCTCTTTCATAATTCTTTTTCTTCCTTGGATATATCTCGGTTTATTACCTGGTCTATTTGTATGGATCAAGACATTATGTCGTCATGGACCACCACAGAATACTATAGGAACTATAGCACAAACTCAATTGATAACAAGAACACGAGTCGGTATAATACATTAGATAGAGATAGTTTAAGAAGACGTCGGCAAACATTTTTATATACCATATATACATATCATTTGACGTAACTTTTATCATTTACTTATTCTACTTTGCATGTTGTTTCCAATGTACTGTTGGTTGTCTCTTTCATAATTAGTTGTGTATATAATCGAACTGCAATTTTTCTCGATATCTGCTGTACTTTTTGAAAATGTTAATAAATATTTCTGCATAGTAGTAAACACAACTTGCTGAGAGAGCAATATGCTAAATTTATTAGAAGATTTTACCTTAATTATTAAATTAAGAAATTGAAATTTTATCTAATAATAGTTAATCAGAAGTAGGCATCATTTTCAGGATTCTCAGATGAAAATTGATAAAGATGAAAGCTAAAATGATTTCTTTATCTTTGTAATCGTGAAACAATATTCGAACAGGTCGCGACTTTCTGAGTAACATTTTCGAATATTCATAATTAAAAAATGAATCTAATTGAAAATTCCTTATAAACAGTTGTCTGATTGATTAAAATAAAAGATATAGAGTCTTACTTAATAGAAAGGATTTCAATTTTTTAGAATACATAAAAATATTTACTTAAATTTTAATATTTTATTTTTGTTCGGATACTTCACTGTTACAGACGATCTAATCTCTCTTCTCCTAGACAAAAAGAACAATAGATTTGTCAAAAATAACAATAAAAAATATTTTGTTATTTCAAATAGCTTATAAATCATTGAAAATAAGCTAATTTTTTTGAGTTTCATTAAATCAACTTTCAAATTGTCGCTGTAGATAGAAAAGATCTTTCGTTGAATTATCAACAAAATTAACGAATAAAACTTGTTTTCGAAAAATATATTTTAACAAATAATTCAACTTTGTAAAATTGCAGACAAATTGCCTTCACTAACATCTATGCATTGACGATTTATGCTCATCAACGCTTACTGTCAACGAACTTGTATGAACCTTAGAATAAATATATCTACAGCAAAGATCATTAAATCAGTCTCATCAACACTAACATTCAGGTCCTTTCTTATGTTCTACACCAACAACCCACAGAAATATACAATCTACTCATTCAAATACTTTCTTAAGAATACTTATCTGAAAGCTACCATAAATTAGATATAAAATATAAAAGCAAGAAATCAATTTTAAAATAAGAAAAAAAAGGCATTGAAACATTCATCAATGTTTACAAAATGTTATTTGAACGTATTCATAAAATTTTAATAATACTGAAAAACAGCTATAGCTCATTTATTGTTAAGCGATTTAAAAAAAAACTTTTCATGAATATTGCATTAAAAACAACTGAAAAGAATAAAAACCAAGCATTTTCAATGTGAATATATTATCTGATTTCACAACTAATTTCAATCATTGACTCTAGAACACTAAGTTTATAAACTAAATGAGTAATATATGCTTGTTGATGTGAAATGTATTAACAGTATTGTGTTTCAATAACAAAGAATCCATTAATATATATATTGAAAAAAGTCTGAAAATGCAAAGACAAATCATATTAAATGGTAACTTTCGAACTAATGATTTGAAGAAAGTTATATTTTATATTTTTGTAAGTTATTTTCGACGTTATTTCTGCAGATTATTTGTTTAAAACATAAGAAAGATATTAAGTGTTTGTTATATTAACATAAATTATGAATAGCCACTCAATTTTACCTATCAAAATCAATAAGATAATAAATAAATAGAACGAATATTTTTTATTTATAATAGATAACAGTTGCTAAGATAAGAAAAAGAAGAAAAATACCGAATATAATAACATCAATAAATGGAATAACAGAAAAAGACTTCTGTCGTTGTTTTTTATTTTCTGGAAAATTTCTTTTAGCTTTAGACCAATAAAAATGTGTTTGACATCGAATACAAATCATTTCATCACAACCTCCATTTTTTTCAATAGGCACATAACATCCAGGACAACATGTAGTATATCTTTTTATCCATTCATCACTTTTCCCATGCCATTGTTGTTCGCATAAATAATCATTTAATAATTCATTACTTTCATATTTTAAAAGAATATCACATATAACTGACTGAGATAAATAAAGAGAACAATTCAATTCTGGACATGTTATACAACTAGTTAAACATGAATAAAGTTTTGATAGAATATGTTGATGAACACATGAATCACACACTTGACGTCTAGCATGTCTTTTTAATGATGAACAACAATAATTAGTAGAAAATAATTCAGGTGAACGATAGCATAAACATGCAGAACATAAAATTCGTATATTACTATTAAATTTTGAATAAGAAGATGTTTTGAGAACACCTAAAAAAATAGTTATAATTAATAATGAATAACAGAATAAACAACGACTTACCTATCGATGGATAACTCATATTTTTGTTTTAATCACAAGATAACGATTATTGACCGTTATACATTATTTTTCTATTCTTGTTTTTCTCAAAGTGACTTCTTCTTTATAGTGTTAACCTTGAAAATGTGTGTTTCTCTTTCTCTCTTCTCTTGTGTGATTATTCTATAAGCATTCGTTTGTATTGATATCGATTCGATAGAAGTGATGAAATAATTCAATAAATATCATTGTCGAGGGTAGCGATAGAGTTATTCCTTCATTTCATCCGAGACACCTGTTATTCAGTTTAAATATAGGTCATATCGATTCATTTTATTGAAAAAAAAAAAAAAAAAAGAGGACGACGATGAAATCGTCTTATTTGAACAAATCTAAGTTGAGATATGGCAAAGAAAAAAATGATAAAGATTATTTTTGTTTTTCGTACACTTAAAATGACTGACACATGAATTTAAACAATAAAATATCTTTCTCTTTGATAGGCAATCAAATACATCATCAATTTCAATGAGAATCTGATTTATTTTCTTTAGTTTTTCTGATTGATATATTCACATTTTCATAAAATCAAATAGTGTGATCAATAAAATCTTTAGAGAATGATGTTCGTATAGTTCTCATTCCAGCTAGATATCACAATTATTCAATGCAATGATTATAAGTTATTTTGATTAAATATGAAGAATATATGTAGAGCTATTCGGTGACAAATGCTTGGTTTATAATACATCTTTCAATTAAAATTGTACTTAACATGTAAAATAGTTCTAAAGTTGCTTTATCGAAAATAAGAAACAAATAAAAAATCTTTATATTTTGATGAAAAAATTCGAGCTTTTCACTATTGATAAAATAATATCTATATAGCACATATTCATAAGAAAACTATCAAAAGAAAATATTTTTATTTAGTATTATTCTTGTTTTTAATAAAGAGCAGAGAATCTTAGGTGAAATATGAAAAAATAATATTGAAGTTTTATTCAGTTATTTCTTGTGGTTTAAGGCTTTTACCATAAGTTGAAAAATGATATCTATGAATCAGTGATGAAATTTTATGGTTGAACGATAATAGTCTGAGGAAATAATCGAAAATAAAAAAACTTAAGCATATATTTTCTCTGGGCTGAAAAGAACAAGTAGCTTTTTTCTTCTAATTTATCAACGCTTACGAGCTTTTATCGAAGTTCATGTTGGTGCTACAAAGCAATATAGTGAAGCCTTCTTATAGTGAGCATCCTTGAGACTTTCTCAAAAAAACAAGAACGTTCTTCTAGATAACTGTAGAACAACAATGAATCAGATAATTCGTCTTTGATATAGGTCTGTTTTCAAAATGTCATCCAATAGTTATTGAAAATCAAAAACAAGAATTTCTAGTTTAGGCTGTTCCATGAACGCAAGAATGCCTATTATCAAAATGATACCAAAAATTAAACGAATCAGTATAAGAATTGTCTTATTCGCATTACATTTAGCAAAAGAGATAATTTTTCAGTTCATTAGTAATCAACGATCATGATTTGAATAAAGATGATAATGAGCGTCAGACTTACTGTCACTCTTACAATTAGGTCTACTTTTCTTTCTTCGCTTCTTTCATTGTTTACACGAATGAGACTCTTGTAATACTCTCATTTCTAAAAATGAGATGACCTCTATACTATTCACCTGAAGTTTTTGCTTCATTTAGGAAGCTATGCACTAAAGATATAAAGGTTTCTTATAGTTTCCAATGATTCAGCCAAAATTGATTGGCTTTTCTCTGAAGAGATGTTTTTATCAATTTCGATTAGCTCCCATTAGCTGTTGATTAGCATTCCACTGGTTGAAAATACGAAAACAAAAATCGAAGTCAAAGAGCAAAATAGCTGTTGATGGTAAATGACCAATTCGAATCATTCTATCCAAACACTTATGAATGATATCGATTATAAAGAGACTCAATACCAGTGAAAATAACTCCATCAGGTCACGGCAAAGTATTCGCTATGTAAGATTTTACTGTATTTTCGACTTTTGCCTCATAAATAAGATCATGACAGTTGGCTGCGAAACCACGGTCTACTATTTGACGATTGTGGAAAGTGACAAAATTGTGAAGGTGCTTTTTTTGCCTCTTCTTCGTGCTTATTATTATATGTGCACATTGATATTCATCAATAATGAATATTTATTAGGGGGATTGGGGCAATGGAAACTTATTCGTTTCTCGAAAACTGGCATCATGTTCGAGCCTTCCCTCCCTCAGCACCATGTTTGTATAACTCTTTTCTGTTCTGCACGTCTCAAGCTACTCGTTCGTCGATGGACTATGTATTCTGCTCGCATACCAGAGTGGTTTGACTCGGCAAACCATTACTCATGACTCCTGTTATCTTTGGTCATGGTGTTATATGCTTCACGTTTGTGCTTTGCTTTAATTGCTTTTCATTCTTCATAAGTTACTCTTAATCAGCACTATGTCCCTTTAGGCTCTATCATGGGTAGAGGATTAAATAAATCGCAAAGAAGCAATATTGAATATTTATTATCAAACTCAAACATTTGCTGATAAATTACCTCGCTTAGAACATAAGCAATTCCATCATGTTTTACATTTTAATTGTTGAGGAATTCCGCTAACAGCCATAACCCTCTTTCAATCTTTGATTATGAAAGTATCAATTAAGCTCAAAATGTATTCTTTATTAACATCGAATGCAATCTGAATAAATTTCACTGGATTCATTATACATCTTAATATATCGAAGGTTTAAAGTATTTATGAAAAAAAAATAAAAAAGAATTAAAAAAAACAATATAAAAAGAGATTCAAAATTATCGAATAGAAATTTGTTAATATTTTGATATGGTGTCGATTGAGAGAAAACTATAATAGCGAAAAGCATTTTCGACGAAAAAAAGTGCGCGAAAATAAACCATAGCGAAAACAAACTATTCTGTTATAATTAGTCATGGTTTATCTATGATCGTAACTCAAAATTCTGGAACTGTTCTTTGATTTTCTCATTCAAATAATTTATTTCTAAATCTGTACTTTTTTATATCACTTGATGCTCATGCATTACATTTCTTTTCTTAAATTTAATAAAATATTACTTTTCATTTAGTAAAACTGAAGATTTTGCTATTTTACACTTCGCTGTTTTACTCTTTGCAACTCGCACAAAAAAATATTTTCACTGAAAAACTTTTCACTATTTTCTTTTTTCGCTGAAAACTTTTCGCTAAAAAACCTTCCACTGATTTGCCATCATACCAATACTTTAGTAAATAACCAAATCAGAGTAAATAAGTCACTACTATATCTCCAACCAGAGTGCGGGTACAATGGACGGAATCCAATCTGGTCATGATTGATGAGATTGTCGACATGTATACGTTAGTCCTTGATATGTTACTAGATCATTAATTACATATGAATAATAAGGTTTCCATTCAGGGATATTTCCTTGATTCGATAATTAAGTTGTTGTCGTAACGCTTCTAGTGAATTTAGTTGTTATAGAGATGATGCTGCACTAGTTATTACTGGTGGTGGTTGAATACCATTATTTAATGCATTAAATGTTGCGTCAATTAATTCAGCTTGACGATCACTACTTAATTCCCAGAAAAAGGCGCCACCTAAATTATATTGTTTAATATAATTATTCTTGATATTAATTGATTGAACATCATCATAAGTAATCCAAAGACCAGTTGATGGATTGAAAAGAAATGGTGAGTGCTGTCACATATCCAAGATTTTGGAGAAGTGCTCACTTCTCCCACAGAAGATGCGGCACCCACACTCAGGAGATGCGGTGATTTGCTGTTGAAGATGTATCATCTCATTGAGAGATGTGCATCCCTCACATTGGGTACTGCATCTCCCGCTGAAAATGCAGCATCGCCCAGCAGAGATGTGAGCACTTCTCCAAATTGCAGGATATGTGACACTGCTGTGATTGCTTGATAAACCACCAGAAACAGGATATTCCCTGCAATACAACATATCATTCTTCTTTATGAAAGTCTTTTTTTCATAAATGCATTGTTCAGATTCTTAATAATTTTCCACAATTTGAAATTTCTTCGTATGACCACTGTTTTTTTTTTAAGGGTGTGCATGTGGGTGAGTGTAGGTTAGTATCTTCACTTCAACCCCATCCACATCTACATGCTTCTTCAATGATTTGGAATTGGCACTTTTTTTAGACTTTGATTTATGTTTATTTCTTTTCAGTCGTTTTTGTATTTAAAGGCCTGTTCTAAAAAAATGTAAATTTTGGTCAAATTTATCGAGTTTGTGATTTCTACTTGGTTAGATAGAGCAAAGCGTTTACTCTCGAGTGCACTAAAGTTTCTTTATTTAATGTTGAGACTAAAGAGTATTATATAAGCTTTTGTTCTGCAGGCTCACGAAAAACAAAGCAAGGTTTGTCAAAAGATTTTGACTTTTCAAGTTCTTCCAGTTTCTCTGCTAGGGCTTGCAGTGATGGATACTTTTAAAGGTGCTCATGCGAGTCATCGTAATCGGTAGCAGACGATGAATTAATAGAGAATTCTTGCTATATCAGTTTATAAAGCACATGTATCAAATTATGGTACTGAAATTTATATGACATTTTTCTCAAAATCGGATTTTGGACTTTTATGCTTTGGTGTGTCCCAGATTTCTCAGTCAATTTAAACACTAGAAAGCAGCAATTAGTATCAAAGCGTAGGAAAAACTAAGCTCTACAATTTAACAGAGTTCGATTTTCCGATTGTCCCTAAATATTTACTAAAAACTAACCAGTCTGACGAGAAATCCCATGATTTTTGCAAATTTTGGTGGAGAAGTTGTCTAAAAAACAAAGCCATGAAAAAATCTGAGAAAAGAAGCTTGTTAAGTTGTAGCGGTAGTTCTAGGTTGCACTTTAAAACCAAACCCAATTTTCTAGCATTTGAAACGGCTCAGTTATCTGGTACTCACGGACACTTTTATTTTCAGTAATAATCGTAAACTATCTCTTTGCAGACTCAATGTATCGTGTTGAAATTTTTACTGTGAGATGCCAAGCTCGAAATACATCTTCCCGAAAAGGACGGGGGACGTTTTAAGTGCATTTCGGCCCAATTAGAAACTGAAGGTAGAATTGCCCGAAACTTTCGGTAAATGCTCAACTACATGTTAGTAGTCATCGCTGAAAATTTCAGCCTGATCCGTTGAACTTTTCCTTTGACTTCAATCCATGAAGAACACAGACCCTAAATATACGTAGGAATGGCCTACAGGGGTAACCTTGTGGACTTTCGTTCTCCCCTATTTGATTCAGACCCAGACTGATTTTTCTAGGATCGCTAGTAATCAGTGGGGACTACAATACTGCAAGCGCATGAGACTCAGAAAAGACTGCCGTGGTATCACCATGAAATAGATGGTTTCCAAAATATTGGGAAAAGCCGTATAGAGTTAACCATGTGGACCATATAACGATCCCGTATGATTT